CCATGATCGACGGGATCATCATTCGCTAATTGTAATTGGCGCAGTACTAATGCGTCATAACTAGACTATCACTAACACTGTTTATCCTGAATGTGGTAATCAGTTGTATTAATAATCAGTACTGATCATATCAGGATTAGCACTTAATGTTAGCACTTGAAGATCTATCAATAATATTTGATTTGCAAACAAATAATGGATTCAAGGGAAATACATTTAATATATTTTGAAATGAATTAGATATGTATTTTAATAAGGTATGTAATTTTTTGGATTGATAATATTATAATATATATTGTATATAATCTTTAAAATAATTATATAGGAAATTCTGGCTGTAGATGATCAATGCCATAATACAATCATACTGGCAATTTCTATATGGATTTTTGTAACATAATTTTGGCAATACTATATATTAAAAATGGTGAATCATTTCTAGCAGAAATTTATATACTGTCATATGAATGGATTCGATTATAGTTTTGGCCAACAAATTCTATAACAAAAAGGGCTATACAATATACGAAAAGATATCAAGTTAAATTTAAAGTGCAAGGTAGACTTCTTTGTAAAAAAAGTATGAATGCTCATTACTACGCAACATATTTTTGTTATTTACGTGAATTTTTGATTAAATATCAGCAATAAGCATATTTTTATATTAGCTGATAATAAGCATAAAGTTCCTATTAATGAATGCAGCTGATTATGACTTTACCAAACTTTCTCTTATACTTTTAGTTATTTTTTTGTTTCTATTCCAAGTGATATTTCAGGTGGATTTTATAATGAACAGGTCTTTGTATTTTTTAAAGATACTGTTTTTGAGTCAAGTAACTCTATTCAGCATGCAACTGAATTTTATAATGCTATTTATTAAAGATAAGCGATGAAACCTAAAAAAAGCTATTAATAAACAGTCGAAATTATATTAAAATATAGTGAGGAGTATGATGAAAACCTGAAATCTAAAATTAAATTAAAAACATAGTAAGGAGTATGACAAAATTATTTTGAGGTAGTTTTAACGAGCATCTTTACTATTTACACAATACAAATAAACCAAACTTTACCAATTTTATACCTTTATACTGATGGTGGACCAGACCATAGATGCACTTATGATTAAGTTCAAATTGCTTTAATTAGTCTATTTTTATATAAAATTATGACATGCTTATTGCAGTATATACAGTTTTACATCACAGTTAGACAAACTCTGCAGAAAAAATAATAAGCATCTTAAATTTAGGACTTCAAAACGTAGCAATTATGCAAAACATGATGAATGATGAATTTGAAACACTTTTTGACAAAACTGATACACTTTGAAATTTGTAAAAGTGCAAATAAAAATTCTAATTTAGAGATGGAATTGTGAAATTGTATTAAATATATTCAAACTTTATTATATAATCATTCTGAAAGATTAATTTTAAAAGATTAATTTTTAAATATTATAATACTACAAGTGAACAAGATATTAATGTTTTATTTGAAGTAAGTAAATAGAAGACACTTGAAAGAAATCAATATTTTTATTTTATACATTTAACTTAATTTTAAAATAATATTTTATATAGTCTATGTCAAAGATTGATCTTTTATTGACTCATAATGATACTACACAAGTTTAATTAATGCATCATAAGAAATTGATTAAATTTATAATAACTTATCATCATGAATGTGCTTATTCTTTTCAAGTATGCTTTTATTTTTAATAAATATACAACTTGTTTAAATTCAATAGTATTATTATTATTTTTTTTTAGATAAAAAAGTTTTAAAATCTGTCATGTGATATATGCGTATCAATACGTTTTTCACAAATTATTTTTGATAATTTACATTTTTTACCTGATTTTATAATTTATACTAATAATTTTTAATTTTACTTATAAAATCTTTATATTATAGATAATTCTGATCATTATGCTTTATTTAATTCTGTTTATGGAATGAAAACTAGTGAAGAATTTCATCTAATATTGCAAATTAATCAAGCTAATGCTGAACTAACACCAAAATATGTATTAATTAATGAGAAAATTTGTGATTATGTTACATGTTGTGATTGTAGAAAATGGCGATATATTTTTAGTAATAAAGCATTAAGTTAAGAAAAAATTCAGGATTTTAAACAAACTTTGGATGCATATGATTATTCATGTGATGCATCTCTCTTTTCTGATAATCATTACTTGATAGAAATATTATACATCTGTAGAAATTCTTTATTATTCTAGCTGAAAATCAGGAAATTTTGATATATGTTATCATTATAATACAAGTAGTGATTTAATTAATCCATCTTGTATACTAATTATTAGATATAAAATAGTATATTTACTATGTTAAAAGTATAAGAATAAGAGTAAGAAATTTAGCACTCATTTGAAGGTTAAAGTAAATAATAATAAGTGAAGAAAAACAGTTAATTAGATTCATAAACATTCTTTACTAATTAAATCTATAGTAAAATTATAATATAATAAAATTTGAACATTTATATGCTTTATTTTTTAATTTATGCAATACTTTGTATTAGTTTAGAAAATGGATTTTACATATAATTATAAGATAGTATTTATTATAAAATAAATTTTTAAATGTTTTTTTATAATTAAAAATCTATATAAATCATTTTTGCATATAATTTATATTTGTATTTTTTTTAATTTCCCCTTCTGGATTTGATCTCCTATATTATGTAAAATACAGAATCTAGTTGATCAGGCCTTTTAAACAAATAATTTTATTTCAAATATCCTGAAACTCTAATTTTCTAAAAATAGTTTAGAAAAGTATCTTTAATTATTACATATAAATATTTGAGAATTTTTTTAAAGTTATAATGAAATATTTATTATAATAAAATATTTTTTTTTGAAATTAAAAATAATAAGAAATTTATAAAATGGAATATATAATTAGAAAATAAAGTAAATATTATTTAATTTTATACAAAAGCTTAAATATTAACTTCTAAAATTTATTATTTAAAATTTTTAATTAAAATATTATTAAACTTTTATTTTAATAATAATTCTTAAATAAGAATGATATATTTTATAAATATCAATATTTAATAATTTATTAGTAATTAATAAGTTATAAAATAAATAAAAATAAGTTTTATTATTATTATAAAATATTAATATATAATTTTTTGAAATATAATAGATATTTAAATAATATATTTTTTTTTATTAAATAACTTATTTATAAAGTAAATTATTAAAGATTTAAAGATAATTCAAATTTTTGCAAATATTTATTAATATAATAATATCAAAAGAAATAAAAAAATAAGAAAAAAAAAATATAACTATAAATAATAATATATAGTAGTTAATTATTAAAAAATTAGATAGATTTTTATATTAAATAATTTATATATATATAATAGAAAAAATTTTTTGATTAAAATTTATTTTAGTTTATTTAAGCCATTTACTTGGCTGATTTCAAACTGCCTATACAAAATTAGCAAAATTTTTGATTTCTAATCTTCTTAGTAAACCTCCTATATATTAGTAAAAACATATTTTATATAAAGAACATTATTTAATATCTTGATAAAAAATACATGTCGGAATTATCCAATCAAAATCAAGTTCTTTTTGAGTGGCTTAGATTGCTGAGTTTTAACTGATTGGATATAAATTTTTTTTTTTTTTGGTGCCAGGAAATTTTTTCAATGAGCATTTTTTATTCCAATGAAATTTACATAAGTGTGGAGTTAGCACTTTTGTATCGGTTTGCAAAAGCCTAAAGTCCTTATATATCTAAATATTTTAAACCTGGTCAATTAAATAATTTATAAATATTTTCTTTTTTCCAACAAATGCCACCTTCCGCTCATAAAGCCTCAGAAAAGGCAGTAAACTCAAAACGTGCAAAACGACAAACCTCAAGTAAGCCAAATTATTTCGAGGGTAATTCTTCAGACATTGACTCTCAGGAGGACTATGACCCTATGATGAACGACACAGCCTATGACGGCGGTGACCCAGAGTTTGGAATAGAACCCATGAGAATTGACGACGATGAGTCCATGAAGAGATATGATGAGCGAGAGGAGGGAGAAGCCTCCGAAGGTACATTTAAACAAAGTCGTTAAACCTTTATACCTTTGTTTTTATGTTTTGTTGAACTTTAGTATGGACAAGTTTTTTATTGTATAAAATTGACATTTCTACACGTTATCTTTTCTTTTATTATTTTTAAAACCAATTTATATAGAACACCGCGAGACGGTAGTTGATCAAAAAAAAGAAAAAAAACGACAAGAAATCCTCGACCGAATAGAAAAGTTACAAAAAGAATTTATCAATAAAAAAGATGAGTAAGTAAAGTTCTTATAACATTCTTTTGTTCGGTTTATCTAGTCAAGGACAGGTTAATCGTAAGGCTAGACACCTCAACACAAATATCAAACTAATGCCGGCAGGAGCGGTAATTATTCATTCGAACCAATTACATACAATAGCATGACTTACTGTTGTCGATTGTTTGAATTAACAGGATATTCAAAGACAGTATAAGACAAATCGATTATGATATTAGGACTATGAGGGAAGGTAATAATGCTTTACAAAATAGGTCCTTTTAAATGCGTAGAATTTCATAAAACAAAATATCTCTATTAAAGGTACACATCCGGAATATGAGGAACGTTTGCAACAACTTATTGATAAACGCGAGCAGACACTTGAGAAGGCAAGGTTTTATAGAGATTATCGTCTTGGATGCGTTGAAAGAATGTTTGACGCCGAAAAACGACAGGTTGAAGATGATTATATGGTATATGTTAAAGTAACAATATATTTGTGTATATAATTCTTATAATTCTTTTTTTGATACGCATTAATTTTTATTAATACCCAATTTTAATATGGCTAATAATAGCTAGAGAAACAAGGATTAAAAGAACAAATGCTGGCAGATATGGATGAACGGAGAAAAAAATTGAAAGAAGACTATGAAAGCTTTGACATAACGAGTGGTACTAAAAATTTATTAAAATTTTTTTTTTTTTTAAGGACTTTTAAATTAAAGGTGGTTTTAAAATTATTTAAAGACGCAGCAATGGATGGAAACCCACGATATCATCCGCAAAGAAAATTGCGTGCGAGACAAAAAGAAGATACAGAAGTGAAAGTTAAAAAACCCAAAGTGACTGATATCCTTATGCATATTTATGTTTATTTTTTCAATCACGTGACATGAATTGTACAATCATTTCGTCATACCATTGTGTTCCCTATTTCCTTAACTCCTGTGTAATACGACCATCAGTTTCTGCTAGGTTACTTGAAAACGAGATTAATGATGATTTAGCCGAAATAGGAAAGGTACTCATCGTGTAGTAACATCAAATAATTTAAAATTTAATTGTAAACCAAATTTTCTTTTTTTCAGGTTTCCTCAACCAGGAAAATGGTTCCCTCTCACCACAAGAAAAAATAATTGGTCGCACAATTAAAACATTTATCCACTTTATTATTTGTATTCTTTTCGAATGGATACTTTCCATTCATATTTTTTATTCCATTTAATAAATACCTTTCCAACGATTCTTGCAAGCAAGATTCATCGTAATTTGATACGACATTCCTGACAATCAGCTTTTGATATCATTTGTAATTTAGATTTGATAAAAATGGTTAAACCCTAGATACAATTCTATTGATTCTTATTTTTCAATGTAAATAAAAAACCATTGAATTAGAAGCTTTAATAAATGTTTTTTGTTCAAGTCTCAATATAACATTTCAACCAATTAAAATTAAGTAGTTAAATTCACATGATTATTTTAAAACTGGTATACTTTCTTAAAAATAGAAATGATATACTTGTAATCTAATTGGAAAATTGAGACTAACTTTAAACTTACTAGTTTATTTTGTTTCTAAACCACATTCATATTTCACTCTTTTTCATCATAAATCGACAATTTTATTATTTCAAAGTTTTTTTTATCTTCTTTATAAACAAGAATATATATATTTTTTATTTATTTATTTTTTTTTTAAAAAAACTACACAATCTTTTTTTCTGTAATGTTAAATCAAAGTTATGACTATATAGTATCTTTATTCATATGTTTCTTTATGATAATACATACGATTGATGCTCAATCAAATAAAACAATAATTGTGAAGCTAGAAGAGATCAAAAATGGGTGGTTATCTACAGGTTCAAATGTTAATTATGTATTCGATATAAAAATCAATCCTCTCGATTTATCACTTTTTACTTTTTCAACAAACTCAACCACAAAAAATTTATCAAATGACAAAATATTTATTACTGTAACAACTTGTAAAGCTCCTTTACCAAATTTAAATAAAAATCCAAAATCACCTCCCGCTGAACAATTAGAAATTTGGATTTCTACAAAAATAAAAAATCCTGGTCCAACAATCGTTGAAAATGGTGATGTTGGTGGTGGTGGTGTTAAATATAAGTTAAATGAAGGTCATTTAAATGTTGATATACCGAAAGAGAATAAGACTGGATTGTATATAGGAGTTTTTGCACCTAAATTATCTGATGATTATTTTGGTCATTATCAGTTTCAAATTGGAGCTTCTACTAAAGGTAGGTAACAACAAAAAATTTGTTTACTATACTACTTCTTTATAATATGAAATGGGTCTTTAATGCAAATTTATTCATGCAAACAGATTTTTTACTTAATCTTCCGACCGTGAAAGGATTGATATTGGATGATACTGATCATGCAAATGCTTTATTTAGAACAGTTAATACTAGTTCAAAACAACCTTTATATGATGTAACTTTTGTTGAACACAAATATGTAGATGGAATCTCTCAGTCATTATGTGCATATACTGAAAATCACTTAAATTCAAAAAATGTCACATATATGACGAAGGAAATATATGGAAAATTGCAATCTTTAATTTCTATAAGTAATTTGAAAAATGGAACAAAATATTCCGTCCTTGTTAAAGAAGAATCAGTTAATGATCCAAAATTCTTCGTTCCTATTGCTTTTCAAACACAATCTCGTAAGTAATTATAATTTTGATTAATTTTAATTTTTTCTCTCATCTTTATTAATTATTTTTTTTTTACTTTTTTTTGATGGAACGTCATTTTTAGAAAATAATTGTATGATAATAAAAAATCTTGAATTTTGCGATAAAGTCTTTTATTCTGTACCAAAAACAATCTCAAAAATAACTGAACAAGAATTAGCGATTGGATATGATAATTTGGCTAAATCATATTTTAATAATTTCGAATTAACAATAGATCAATATCCATGTGATGATAAACTTCGTTCAAAATATTCCTTAGTTAGAAATTGTAATGATTGTAAAGAAGCTTATAAAGATTGGATATGTGCTATAATAATTCCACGTTGTGCTAATGAAGATTCATCTGATGGTATTGAAAGAAACAAATCTCGTGTAGAAGTTTCTGATGAGACTATGAAAATTGATCAACCTTTTGTAGAAATACCTCCTTGTATTGATCTATGTTATAATATTACTAGATCTTGTCCTGAAAGTTTTGGTTTTAGTTGTCCTAATTCATCTAAATCAACAAATTCAACAAATTCAACTTATGGTGATACAATTGATCGTTCATGTAATTCTCTAGGAATGGATTTTTCTTCGAGATCTAATCTTGCAATATGGTTTTCAATCCAATGGACTTTAATAATATTAGTTATTGGATTTACAATTTTAATAGTAGGAATATGATTTTTTATTTCCTTACCTTTTTACATATACATATACATACAGTATATATTTATTTATTTTACTCCTTTCTTTCACTAATATTTTATAATTCATTTCAAAAAAAAATAATATTTTTCACAACATAATTTCATACATCAACAAAATTTCAATCACATTTTATAAACCTATTTAATCATAATTACTATAAAAATTAATTCAACAAATTATAATTAATATCAAAAGAAAAAGAAAAAAGTAATAATTATAATTACTAGCACAATTACAATTTTTGTAAATATTAAATAGGAATACATACATTCATATACATATTTTTATACCTGTATTTTTATATAATTCAACAAATAAAAAGCAAATTATTTTCTGAACGAAACATTTATTAAATTCCTTTAATGATGACGTGTTTATCATTATTCATTTGTTTAGTTACAACTCTTCCAATTGTACAAACATCGGATTCATATTCTCCAAGTAATTTTTTTACTTGTATTTCATCATCACATGACACGATTAACACCATTCCAATTCCACAATTAAATGTTCTGAATAAATCGTCTATTGAATCATGTACAATTCAGAATGTTGTTAACGAAGCATAACGTAATCTAAGCTTATATTTTAAAAAATATAATTACCTGAAGGTATATTTCCATTTTCTTTCAACCATTTAAATACTTTCGGTAATTCCCAAGCGTTTGAATCTACGATAACTCCAAGATCTTTGGGTAAAATTCTTGGTATATTATCTACAAAACCTCCTCCAGTAATATGTGCCATTGCTTTTACAAGCCTCTTTTTGACAACAGGTAACAATTGTTTGACATAAATCTTCGTTGGAATGAGAAGACTTTCACCTAACGAAATTGTTGAATTCCATGGACATGGTGATTTATATTCAAAATTGTGCTTATCGATGATTTTACGCACCAATGAAAATCCATTTGAATGTAAGCCTGATGATGAAATTCCTATGAGAACGTCACCAACTTTTATATCTGATATACGTGGAAGAACATTTCCACGTTCTAATGCTCCCACTGCGAATCCTGCCAAATCATATTCACCTAATTTTAAAGAAATAGATAAGATATTAGACCAAAAAAAAAAGAAATCTAATTCAATTCGTCAAATTAAAATTAATTTCACCATGATTGTAAACGCCGGGCATCTCCGAAGTTTCACCACCAAGTAAAGCGCATCCTGATTCACGACATCCAACAGCAATGCTTTTCACTACATTTTGTGCGACACCAACTTCTAATTTACCGCATGCATAATAATCAAGGAAAAATAAAGGCTCTGCGCCTTGTACAATAAGGTCATTAACATTCATAGCGACAAGGTCAATTCCTAGATGATCAAAAGTTAAATAAATAAATAATTTAAAATTAATTTACGCGTCAAAATATATATACCGATGGTATCATGTAGATTCATAGCTTGAGCAATTTTTAATTTGGTTCCCACTCCATCAGTGGTTGATACTAAAATTGGATCATCAAATCCAGCTGTCTTCAAATCAAATAATCCACCAAAGCCTCCAATTTCACAATCAGAGCCTGGACGTTTAGTGCTTTTCAGATACGGTTTGATTTTTTGAACAAGAAAATTGCCAGAATCTATAGAAACACCAGCAGAAGCGTAGGTCATAACATTATCCTTCTCAGGTTGTTTTGATAAATAAGTAAAGGCGCTAAATATAAACAATGATAAGCATAAATAAAGTAAATTACAAAAATTGAAAGGAATTATACAATACTAAATATACCGGTGAGCAATATCTTTTCTAAAATACATATTATCAAAACTAATAGTCTTGACGCATTCATAAGCTTTATCAACTGCATTTCTTAATGTAGATGCTATGCCTGTTACTGCAAGCACACGACCACCAGATGTAACAAGTTTTCCATCTTTGATACTAGTACCAGCATGAAAAATTAATGCGTCTAAAAAGTCAAATGATTAACGTTATATGTACATTTGACGAAATAATTTGTGTGACAAGAAATAAAATATTTACCAGGAGGAATATTATTAAAACTAATATTTTTTCCTTTCGAATAACTTCCTGGATATCCACCAGAAGCAACAATAACGGTAGCCGCAAATCCTGGTTTTATTTCAATTTGCATTGAATCTAACCGCCTCTCAACACAAGCCTATGACTTTATTATTAGATTAATCGAATAATTAGATTTTCTAAACAAAGGTCGTTAAATACATTACCAGAATAATGTCTGCCAAATCTGATTTATCACTTAAAAGTGGTAAAGCAACTTCAGTCTCCGGATCTCCAAATCGTACATTATATTCCAACACTCTAGGTCCAGAATCCGTTATCATGATTCCAGTAAAAAGCATGCCAACAAACGGAAATCCTTTTTTTTAAAAAAAACGCCAGAACTTTTAATATGCATATTATCATAAAATTTCTTTATAAGATTTACCATCGTGTCGCATGCCATCTATAGTAGGTTGTAAGATCGTATTCTGAATTTTGGAGATAAGTTCAGGAGTGGCAATCGGTGTTGGACAATAACATCCCATTCCACCGGTATTTGGCCCCTTCATAAATTCCACACAATTGTTAGTAAATAATTAAATATGAAATTACGCGAATTTTTGAATATTCACTTGATCACCATCAAAAATACGCTTGTGATCCTGTGCGGGAGGAAGAGAGATAATAGTATAACCATCTGAGAATGCCAATAAACTCAATTCTTGACCTTCAAGAAATTCTTCAATAACTACTTCATCGCCTATTTATATAATTAAATATAAATAGAAGATATAGCAAAAAAAAAAAATAAAATAAAAAAAAAAAAAAATGCTAAATGAAATCTTTAAGTTACCTGCTGACCCAAATTCTTTATCAATCATTATTTTTTTCAATGCATTAAATGCCTCTTGCTTATTGGTGGGAATTATGACCCCTTTACCGCCAGCAAGACCCGATGCCTAAAAAATAAAGATGAATGATCCTTATAATATATATATATATATCTTTTTATATCTTTTTTACCTTTATGACGACATTATATGATATTGACTCCAGGTAAGCCCTTGCTTTCTCATATTCTGAAAAACTCTAAAAATTGCAATAGAAATTTATATAATAAAAATAATGCTTAAGGTAAATCTAACATAATAATAACCTCATAAGTAGCAGTCGGAATTTTGTGCTTTTTCATGAAATCCTTTGCAAAAGTCTTCGACCCTTCCATCATCGAAGCTTTAGGTGATGGTCCGAAACACGATACTCCAACTAATTTAGAAATTGAGAATTTTTTCTTTAATCAGGAGTATCATAATATATATATGCATATGAAACTTACTCTTTTTAAATGCTAATTCGATTCCTTCAACTAGTGGTTGTTCGGGCCCTGGAATAACCAAATTGACCTATAAAATAAACTATTAATTTACTTTATCAAAGTAACAAAGTTGATTTCAGAAGAACTCGTACGTTATTTTCCTGTGCAAATTTGGTTAAAGAACCGAAGTCACTAACACCAATGTTGATATTAAATACTTTATCAATTCCAGTTTCTGTGCCTCCATTTCCTTAACAACATAATAAGTACATAATTAACAACAATAACGTTTTTTTTTGAAACGATATAATGCTAATATTCATATATAAACCTGGTGCTACATAAATTCGTTCTACTCGAGGCGAATGAGAGAGCTTCCATGCAATTGCATGCTCTCGGCCTCCAGAACCTACGAGTAAAATATGAAGCTTATCTAAAATAAGAAAATGTTAAGTACAATTAATAAAAGAATATTATGATTTTAACTATTTTGGTTTTACAAGAAATTGATACCTGTCGACATATTTTAAAAAATCAATCAAATAAAATCACGATCGCGTTAAATGAAATAATTTTTATCGGATTATGAAAACATCATGTGATTTTAATAAGGGCCAATCAATTAACGAAATTAAAAAAATTGCCTAAATTAAAATAGTACAAATTTCTTTTTTTTAGGATTTACTCATAAACTTGACATTAGAAGTTCTTCATTTTATGGACGAATGTAGAAAAGAAAAACCTGAAGCTGATATTGAAAAGATTTTTAAAAAATATTTAGAATCGAGAAGGTTGTTACAAACGCGTTGGGAGCATATAGTAGATACTGTTATGACAAGTAATTAATTTTAATTCTATGCTCTTTTAATTATAATCCTTATTTCTTCTGTATTCGATTCGATGGATTGGATGGAAGAAAAACAAAGTGTGATATAAATCTATTTCATTTACGTTGTCATTCCTTCGATTTACTCTGCAGATCCAAATAGGTCATTGGATCTGAAATCTGTCAAAAAAGCATTTGACTACGATTATACGAATGGTGATCAAATTCATTCCTCATTTTTGAACCATATAGAAATTCTAGCAAATTCATACGATAAGTAATAAATATTATTCACCGTGTATAACTTTAATACAAGCGAGCTGTATGGGGAAATCACGACTATTGAAGGAGATTGGAAATAAAGTTTTTGTGGTGTATTCATGCTTTCGAGTGTTTTATTATGCTGATGACATTTTACAAAAAACAACGTTCGTCTTCAATGGACAGCATTATTATGTGCATGTTTTCAAATTAAGCGAAACTCATATGAAATATGAAAAATATTGTATGCAACACCAGTTGTTTGAAACGCAAAAAATTATCAAAGATAATGCCTACACCATTTTTTGCCCTCTGGAGGAATCTTGTAAAAAATCAACGATGATGATTATAATAGACGAACTTGGAAAGTATTATAACAACTTCATCAAAAAACAAAAAAAAACAGTTGGATTTGATTTCAACCAAACTAAAAGTGGTTTTTACATTTGATGAGGCAAGAAATTTGCTACCACCAGAAGAAAAACCGATAGTTTACTATTATTGGCTTCGGATCACTTTACAGTCTCTTCTGAGGTGCAAGATGGACAGTATATTGTATTTTATGTTATAACAGATACAATGGGGAAATTGGCTAATTTGCTCCACAAATTAAACATGATCCTTCTTTACGAGTTCAGCTTAGCAGTCATAAGTTGTATCCTCCATATTATCTCCTTGGCACATTCGATACTGTAGCTACATTAGAGCCAAGCAATTTACATGAAACCGCAAAATACGATTATTTTTTCCGTTTTGGTAGACCTTTATGGTACGCCCAATTTTCGTCAGCTAGTGATCCTGATTATCCTAATCGGTTGGTCAATCTAGTAATGGTCAAACTAGGGGTACACAATCAAATAAACCAGATTTTAATTCATCCTTGGTTCACGTATTCACATTGATATTTCTCCTCAGTCCGAGTTGGCAACAACCTTAGTTTCGAATTATACATCATCATCGTCCGAACCACTTTTGTCTATAGCCGCAACAGCAATAATGAATCATGAGTACATTAGAATTCATGATATTCTTAACCATTTTATCCAGGGATTATTCAAAGAATCCAAAACAGATATCTATCGCACTTTTTGGGTTAATTAAAAAATTATATAACTGTCTGAATTTCAAAACTGATGATGAATTATCTCTTGAAGTCGAGAAATCCTTGAAAAATTTGCGAACAGCTTCAGTTGATCTCATGCATTTAATGGAGAATGAAAAAAAGAAAGTAATATTTCAGCATATGCAACCACTTGTTTATACTTCAAAGAAAAAAAAAATTGTATAATAGACAAATGGTTTTCACACAATGTTATTCTTGATAAGTAGATTTCGCACTAATAAATAAAAACTTTTGCATTTTAACTATTATAATCACAATTTTTTTTTATTCACAATTTAAAAAATGAAAATCGGAAATATATTCAAAGAAATAGACATTATTTATTGGAATTATAATTCTTTTATAAATTTTATGCGTATATTAGGTTATAAGAACCGACTCCATGACTAAAAATTATATTAGAACATTAAAGAAATATTAAACAATAAAATTGTTAAGTATAAAAGAAGTATAATACAAGATTATATGTATTTATGGATCAACATACTACCATTAAATGGTTCTCCGGATTTTTTATAAGTACAGAAACGTGTTGGCTTGTTTGGAGAAGTGACCCAAACTCTTTTTGTGATGTTTTAAATTTCTGATATATGAATAATCATTTATTTCTAAGTATTAAATTTGAGTATAAAAGATTATTTAATTTGTTAATAATTGTATCATCATCATATCATCTCTGTAATAAATTAATTCTGATAATAATAGAACTTGAATTAACTAATAAAATGTATCTGTTTTTTTACATTAAAATGTAAATTGTATCATATATATGTGAGTTATGAAAAGTTATTTCTTATAATTTTGTTTAAAATATATGCTTTTTTTTTTGGAGTGAATTGTTTTGTTCAAAAATGATTCGATTTATATAAATAATGTTTTGAATTTTATATATTAATATGTACGATTTTTAAAATCGAAATGATTAAAAAATAGGATAGCTAAAATGAGCAAAATTCATTTGGGGCAAGATAAATAATAGATTTATAAGGTTAGATGATTAATATTAAAAAAAAAGTGATCATCGAACAAAATGGCTTTTAGCAAGTTCGATCAATTCAATCTATCAAAGGAATAGAATATCGATATTTAATCAACAGTATGAATTTTCCTAATACAGACTTTTGATGATCTCTATACTAAAATAATCCACCCTCTGTTTTGTATTCTACTATGTAAATATAATAAGCAATTTAATTTAAATATATTTTTTATTAACGAGCAAATACGTTTCTTTATTACATTGATAATATGGGATTTACATTTTAAAACTGCGAGGATTTTAATCGATCCTACATTTTCTTAAATATCCAATAACAAAATAATTTAAAAAATAAAATTTTTTTATATGGAAAATTATTTACACTAGTAAATAATGTTAAATAATAAAAATGTTAAAAAAAATTATGAAACGATTCGGCTTAATGTTTAGCATTTTTGTCATTATTGACTTTATAGAAACAAGCACACCAATACATAGTCAAAAATGGGGTTCCACTTTGATCAGGAACTGCAGCACTAGTAAAATAGAAGTCACAATGAGAAGTTATTTCATTCGATACTTTCAAATCGAATTTATTGCAATGACCTTGCAAAGTGTTGTGAACTGTAGAACCTTCGGATTTTATAAGGTTTATAATGTCTTTGACGAGCTGATTAACTTCGGTAGGAGATAAAATGAAATTATCGAATTTGGCCTGTTAAAAAAAAAAGGAAAAATAGTATCAGATTTGAAATTCTTGAAAATTGAACGAAAATTTTTGTATAAATACCTTTAAATAAGCAGTAAAATTGAAATTTGTCGCATTCTCATCATAAATTATACAATCTTCGAATGCACCAGATCGAGTTGATTCAGAAGGAGCAGTATTTTCACCGATCCATGGATAATTGAATTCTTTTTGCCATTGCTGATAACAATATTGCTTAAGGAAGGATTCGGTTTGTTTAATTGCCAAGTATGGATCTTGATTTTCGTCGATGATAGTACTGAGGGTTGGTTTTCCAATTAATTGAGCGGCTGATTTGGCCAATTCAAAAACCTCGTTAGGTTCAACACGATTGATAACTTCGTCAACGTATTTATCAGTTGATTGAGCAACAGGCATTTTTATTTTTATTTTTTTGATGTTTTTTTAACAACTTGAGAAAAAAAAATGCTTTGGGGACCTTATATAATCGTAAACATTTATTGTGACACGATAAAAGAATGGCGCTTTTTAATCACTTCGAAAACGTCATTCAAGTAGCCGGACTAATTCAAGTTAAATGATACGTAATTATGATAAAGTTTTTTTTTTGGTCTATGTATTTTTGTTCTGTGAGAAATTATCTCATATTTGGATATGAAAAAGTCACGATACAAGGATATAGGCGAAAACGTTCACTTGTTATTTTCTGAGCAAGATCTGGATATTAAAAAAAAATGGGTATCTATGACATAATAGCACTGGTAATCTCAAAAACACATGTTCATGTAACATACTTTATACCCATATATACAATAATGCAAATAAATGAACCCTTTTTTTAATTTTCGCAGTTCTCCGAAATTGTCTAATCTCTTTAATCTTTTTTCAAATCGATTACGTACTTCAACTTCAATGATGATCATTCTTGTGATCACGTATAACATTTTAACTTATTACTCCTCCTTTTCACTTTTCTTTTCAGAACCTTATTATTACCTTTAAAATAGTTATGGGTCGAAGGTCAAAGAACATTAACAAAAATAACCAACCACATACTCAAGTTGGTTCCTCTACGCATCAACAAAACACTCAAATACAAGTAACCGAGCCACCAAACAAACGTAAAAAGCGTATTCTACCAGTTGAACAGGTCGTTCAAACTCAACAACCGAGGCAATCAGTTTTTGAACGTCTTGGCACTAAAATTTCAGGAACTGCGCCCATACTAAGACAGCCCACAGTTAAGAAAGATATCAAAGATCATTTGTCTGAGAATGATACTCGTAAATCAAAGAAACTTTCAGAAGTACGGAAGGTGAATAAAGTTGATTATGAACTTGTGAACATTATGAACCATATATAAAGATCATATAAAAGTAATACAAATTAGAAATGTATTAGTATCTTAGTATAATTTATTAATCGTTATTTATTATAAAACTTGAAAGACTACTGAACATGAACAGTTGGAAGGTGAGCCTAGACAACAAGAATCAATAAAACCAAAAGAGCGTCAACACGACGTTAAGAATAAACCTGAGGGCGTCTCTAAGAGGATTATACCAAATTCTAAGCCTAATTCTAATATTATCGCTAAAGATGGAAAGCGAGAAGAATCTAAACCAGGAAATCCACTATGGCGAAACTCATATAAGCAAAAAGAACAAAAGCAACCTGCAAAAAAAGATGAATTCATAGACCCAAAGACTACTTCGTCTTTAAGGTAACCCTTAAATTATAAAAAAAAAAAGAAAATATATTGTATATTATTACTTTTAGAAAAATCATAAATTATTTTATTTATTAAAACAAAATGAACTAGTCCAACGGAGATACAAGAAACAAAAGAAGAGGACATAACATCATCTCATGAGATACCTCTTGTAGATATTTCATTACAATCTCCTAAAGTACACGACGTCCAAAATACTGAACAACCTGTGAATGACATCAAAGAAACTGAAACACAGAAGATAAATGAGAATGATCAAATAACGCCAGAAAACCTTGAAAAAAGTGTTGCTTCGTCCGAATTTATTGTGCAGCAGCAAAATAATGCTATATACGAACATATCTCTGGGTTGGCGCAATCTGATCATGAATCAGATATAGCAAAAGAAGATGTCGTATCGATCCAAGCTGATGACGATTATTTAATAGGTATTGAAGATGAGGATCAAGAAGACCCTTCACTATCAGCCAATAACGAACAACAGTTGAATCAAAATTTTGGTGAGTCACACGAAACGGGTCAGCCTCCTGCTTTACGAAATATCCCTCCTAATCCTGATTCATATAAAGATCAAAGGAAAGACCATGGAAGGAATAAGGACATTGATATAATTAAAGACATACCGTCAAGAATGCGTAATCGTACTGCAAATTCTGATGATGGACGTACTTCTGATAGGAGTTACGAGCGTCCTAGTCGGGAAACTTCCATCCAACAATGTCACGTAGACGATCGCAGAACTCGACTATACGAAAGAGACATTCGTGAACGTGAAAGGGAGGAAAGATATAATCGTGCAATAGCTACCGACCGTGCACATGATGACAGGATTTCCGATCGGGATAGACGAGAAAGGGAACGTCAAGACCGCTATAACAAAAGTCTATTGGAAGATAAAGCACATTTGGACGTTCCACGTCGAGATCGTTTTCAACGTGAAGTTGAACGAGGTCGAAATGATCATGGTAATCGAACTCCTAATGCTGAAACTTCTTCAAACAGCACCATTCGAGGTGCAGCTAGTATGTCACCAAGTGAATCTGATCGTGATCGAAAACCTCCGAGTAGAACACGATCACTTGAAAAAATTAAGAGAGAAGGACCACGTGATGATCTTTCATGGGAGCATAGACAACCACATCAAGATTTCCAAAGGGACAGAATTTCTCGTCAGCGTGAAGATTTGTCTAATAGAGATCGTGATTCAAGGATTCGAGATTTGTCAAAAGAAAAGGATCTCTCAAGAGACAGAGTCGAACTTCCAATGCAAGATCGAGATCCTATGAATTTCCGTAGAGGTGATCAAATGGATGTTGCTTTTCGGCGTTTAGATGAAAGGGTATCAGTATCTAACGTTCGTAGGCTCGGTGACCCCCGTAATAATACCGGCATTCCTGATAGGAACCAGAGAGACCCTCCACCTCGTGATAGAGAAAAGGATAGCCATTACCATCGTGATCAAGCTTTGAGATCGGAATCAATTCGTAGAGAAGAACGTCTGCCAATCGTTCGCCCTAAGAATGAAACTCAAAATGACACAGTTTTTCAGGATACTCGAGATAGGGAACCGAGGCAACGAAGTGTCCAATCCAATGCACCGATTGAGCATGATCATCGTCCTGATAAACGAAAACGAGAAGAAATCGATTCTAATGATCGTAAAGTTTATTATGATAGGGAACAAAGGAGTGATTCAAACTCTTTCAATCAACGTATTCCTGACTACCGTATTAGGGATAAAGATAGGGATCAACGTCATCGTGAAGATTATCCTGCTAAAGTTGGAATTAATAGAGATCAGGATAGAGATCGCAAAGAAGAACGAGTTTCACCATTACACGATCGTAACGTTGGTTTACCTGACCTTTATCGGCCTTCATCGGAACATCATTTAAAAGAACCCGATCGCCGACCAATCCGGGAGTATGAAAGAGATGTTGGCGGTGATAGATTCCGTGCCGATTATGACAGAGAAATTCGAGATCGACTTCGTGACGGTCACGAAAGTCCAAGTAATTCCGTTGAGAAAACTGATGCTCATAAGCATTTGTACGATCGTCATCAGAGAGAACCTGAAAAAAGGATGGGACGTGATGTAGATGACGACTCAATGTCTCGTGCAAATAGACCTGATCCTACGCGACGCGTTGATACTGAGAGGTCGCCTTCTGCCATGGACAACCAACGTGATAATACTCGGGATTATGCTCAAGAAATACATATGCGTGAAGATAAGAGTGGAGATTCTCAAGCGAAGGAGTCGAAGAAAGCTCTGGACAAAGAAGATGAGGAATATTTACCTCATCCTTGGATAAAATGCAAGTCTAGTAAGAATAAAGATTATTATTTTAATACACAAACTCGCGAGTCTCGATGGAATCATCCTTTTCCTTTTGAACCCGAGAATGGAAAGAGTTGTCAGACTCAGAGTGGTCAAACCGATGGTATTAAAACCATCGGTTATGACTCTCGTAAGGTCCAGAATGAATTTGATAATCCTCGCAAAAAGATCCGCTTGAATGAAAGCGGAGATGGTACTGCTACAAATACTGACAATCGTAGCTTCCAAGAGAATCCTCAAATTGGAAATGAGAATAAAATATTAAAAACCATCAACGAAAATGAAACTTCCAATAACGATGTTTCTTTGATCGTTGATAAAGCGACATATCTTCCTTCAGATTCATCATTCAGACTACCTCGTAACAACACTACTAACGATACGGCTCTTTCGTTTTCACCTTCAATACCACAAGCTCAATCTTCTCCCGGAATGACATCTGTATTCTCACCACCACATCGTTCGATTTCTTCCGGGTACAATGAACGACGATTTAGTGCCGATTATGGAATACAATCAAGTACACGAAGAGGATCTTATGCTGGGTCTCAGCCAAAATCTCCTCTAATGCCTTCCTCAAGGCCAAGCTCTAGTCCATTTAATCGAAGTGGGTCTGTTGACTTATACGACCGGAACGATGTCTTTCGCAATGAAGATTTTATTTCTAACCGTTCGCTCGGAGACCCACGTAATATCACAAATCCAAGCGGTAATAACAATAGCGGAATGGGGACACCAACATTTTCCGGATCACCGATTCGTTCTAATCGACCTGGAATGTATAACTCGTTCGGGATTGACCAAAACACTTCTCCGGGTAGCAGACGTTCTCGTGAATTACCATCTTTTTCACAGCAATCTCCTACATCACGAGCGAGGAATGTTCTTGACGAAGAACGCCCGTTATATGGTGAAGAAGAACAAAATACAGAGATTAAAGAATTACCCATCAGCGAAGTTCACGTTCCTGAAAGATCCGAAATGGACATAGATGTTCAAATGACAAATAACGGACAAAATGTTGAAACTGTTACCGAACAAAATATTGGCGAAGAATCTGACGAAGATACTTGGCGTTCAGATAATGAGCTTACCGAATATGGAGCGTCCGAAACTGAGCCAGTCTCAATTTTCTTGTTCCGTCGTGCAGGTTCAAGGACGAACCAAGATGGAGTCAAAAAGAAATATTTGAACTCAAGAAAAGAATATGAGATGGTGAAATCCATTTATGGTGGAAAGGGAATGCACCGATTTAAGGTAAATTATCATGATATTTAAATCAAAGTCGTCTCAATTTTATATTATTACTAATTAAAATTTGATAATAGCATTCTTTTGCCACTGTGCATCGGGGAAACGAGATCTTCCCTTCAGTTGCCCGTGGTGGCGTCAATATTTATGGAGATGAATAAGGAACGCCTCGGCGTGCGTGAATTTTTTTCTTTAAAAAAAAAATCAATAAAAAAAAAGTAATAATAATTTGTAAGAAAAATGTATAATTATTATACATACATATATAATAAATTTATAATAAATTTTAGACAATAGTTTAATGACACGTGAATATGTTACATCAAACAAATCATATACAATTTCTTAGGCTTTTGTTTCCATAAATGGTATAAGATTTTGCATATTTATCTAAATCTGTGCAACAATAAAATAATTAAAATATAAATAAGATGTCGGTAGACTTTTTTTTCATTGTAATAAAAATTTCCTGAAGTTTAAAATGACGGAGCAAATTATTCAAGCTTGTAATGCTAGTGAAGAGCAAAACCAACAGGGAGTTTCTATAAGTACGCAGACAGAAGAACCGAAAGATATGAACCAACCCGGAGCTTCTATTAGTACGCAGACAGAAGAACTGAAAGATACAAAACAAGGAGCTTCTATTAGTACGCAAACAGAAGAACCTACGAACCAACAAGGAGCTTCTATTAGTACGCAGACAGAGGAACCAAAAGATACGGAACAAAAAAGAACTTCTATTAGTACTCAAACAGAAGAACTGAAAGCTACGAATCAACAAGGAGCTTCTATTAATGTTCAGACGGAAGAACCGAAAGCTACGAATCAACAAGGAGCTTCTATTAATGTTCAGACAGAAGAACCGAAAGATACGAACCAACAAGGAGCTTCTATAATTACGCAGACAGAAGAATCAAAAGGTTTGAGCCAAAGCATCAACAATAATGTGGAAAATAAGAAAGTGACAGTGGAAGACGTAGGGTCAGAAGAAACTTTAGTAAAAAATAATGGTCCAAATGATAACTCGAATGATACGAATTCTAACGATACGAGTAATGCAACAGGTTCAACTTTAAATAATGATTCATATGAATTAATACCTACAAACAAAAAAAAGAAGAGGAGAAAGAAGAAGAAAAAAGCTGTATCAGAAGACTTTTTAGATTTGCATGATGAAGGGCCAAAAGAAGAAAATGAGGATCTTCTTTATGATCCGTAAGTTTATAATTGTAGTTTGATTTTACTTATAGTAAATTTTTAACTTAACTTGATGATATTATATTGATTTATCTATCTTAAAACATTTTGCAACACATAAAGATCAAGACCAATAACACATCGTATAGAAGAAGCTATTCAAAAATTTAGAAAGAACCGTAAATTCACCCCAATTCGTAATCAGGTTTTCACCTCTTATCTTCGTTTTGGCGGGATTAGTACGGGTCAAAAACAATTTTTGAGTCAAGATGGGGCTGATAAAGAAGATGAAGATGCACAAGATATTGCAGCGCGTCGTAGTACAGATTTCGTTGAAGACGATGAAGATATGGAAGTAGACTTTACGTATACGGTTCAAGTCTACTTGTCTGGCTTCTTGATAGATAAATCTGGTTATGTTCAGATGGACCAATTTCGTGAAGGACCTCAGGTCGTGATTTCATTTTTAAATTATTTGTGTAATCGTAATGTATGTCCAGAATATGAAGCTGATATGCGAAATGCTTTACGAATCGCTAGCAAAGCAGCGATCGAATTACCGAACTGTAAATCACTTGCACATAGTGCTCCAGGAAAATTCAACAAAGCATGTTCTTTGTTATTTGGAGGAGAATTATATGGTGTGCTTGATGATCCTTGGAATGGAGAAGATAAGGTAGCATCAATGATTGGAATTTCAAAAAGGGAGGGAACGCAACTTATTAAATATGTATTTGGAGCCAATGCATTTGAAGAGTTGAAACTTGTGGAAGAAGATTCTAAATATACTTTGACGTGTGAAATTATTGAGGTGGTGCCATACTCAAAAGCTATTGGAGAAATTTCTGCGGGGAATAACAATGAATCACCTAATCCAAAAAACGAAGCACAACAAGCGAATGATGAAAAATCAGCGGTGAATAGCAATGAATCACCTAATCCAGATAACGAAGCACAACAAGCTAATGATGAAAAATCAGCGGTGAATAGCAATGAATCACCAAATCCAGATAACGAAGCACAACAAGCTAATGATGAAAAATCAGCGGTGAATAGCAATGAATCACCTAATCAAAATAACGAGGCACAAACTAATGATGGAAATTCGGCGGTGAATAGTAATGAATTAACTAATTCAATCGACGAGTCAATTAAAAAAGAAACAAGTTTCACGAAGATATTTTTACGTGAGCGTGACGTAAAAAAAGCGGAACCTTTTTATATCACTGTCAATCCCGAATTAGGAGGATTTGCTACGCCCGGAATGATTATCACCGCAGATTTTTATAAGTTATCTAACGGGTTTTGGTATTGGGATAAAGTAACAAATGTATATCCCTCATATTATCTCCCGTGTGATGATGATTCTGATGATGATTGAATTATTCAATTGTAAAAAAAAAAAATTCTTTTTTATTATTTCCATAAATAAAACTGGACAACATTTAGCAACTTCTATTATCATTTCTAATCCATTCTTGTATTTATGTGTTTAAAAATATAATAGATGCATTTAGAGTAGATAATTTGATTCACGTGATAAAATTTATATTAAGAACTCCGCATAGAACGTGTATTATGTATAACTGCACTAGTGTTGTGTAACGACTTAAATCACGAAAAATTTGATATTATTAAAGATTTTACAAAATAAGATTAACTTATTGAAAATGTCTCACCTGGGAAATACAAATTCTTCTTTGAATGTCTCTTCTTTAAGGGAATTGGCTAGAAAACAATTGACCACTGTTCTAGATTCAGTATGTGAACCTTTTGATTTTGTAAAAGCTACGGACCTGACTTTTAGCTTAATCTTGTATACTTTGTATATTTAATTTATTAAATGATAAATGTATAGGTTAGAGGGAAAAAATGTTTAGTATTGGATCCAAATATTAGTGCACCTTTGAGTTTGATAGCTGAATTTTCTTTATTAAAGGTACATTTTTTTTTTAAGAAAGTTGCAAGGAAAATGAGAGATTTATAAATAATCTTGATTATCAAAGGAACATGGCGTAGAAAAGGTGCATTATCTACAACAAGGACCTTTAGAAACCGATCTAAAAAGTTTGATTTATATTTGCCGTCCCCAATTGAATTACATGAAATATATTGCTGGTAAATATTTAAGATCATGTTTTTTATATTAAAAATTCTCGGATTATTTTATATTACATTATTGTTATTTATAGAACATATAGGTCATCATCAAAAGAACGATCCCTCATCAGTTTATGAATACAATCTTTTCTTTGTTCCTCGAAGAACTAAGATTTGTGAAAGGGTTTTAGAGGATTCCGGTGTATTTGGAGATATCCTTTACGTTTTCGTTAAATTCAATTTATTATGACCAAGTTTATTTTCCTTAACTTATTTGATTCTTACGTATCACGATTGGAGAGTATCATCTAGATTTAATACCGTTTGAGGATGATTTACTGTCTTTAGAGTTGGATAATACCTTTAAAGAGCTCTACTTGGTATTTATGTTTTATAATAGTAGGGGTTATAGAACAAAAATTATGTGAAGTTTTGACCAACCTAAATTATATAGGACGGCGATTATACTTCAATTTATTATGCGGCAAGAGCACTTATGAAACTCCAGACAAAATTCGGTCTTTTCCCGAGAGTAATTGGAAAAGGGGATTGTGCTAAAGTTAGTAATATAATATCTATGGGATTGAATTTTCATATAGTAATATATTAATTCTTACTTATCCTTCTAGCACTTAGCCGATATGTTACTTCGTATGCGTAAAGAAGTTGCAGTAGACGATCCATCGTCCACATTATCAGTATCTCAGAGCATTGATTCTCTAATTATTATAGATCGATCCGTTGATCTCATTACTCCTCTTTGCACACAATTAACTTATGAAGGATTAATAGATGAAGTGTTTAGCATAAGGGCTTCGCATGTAGAGGTTGATTCATCTATTGTGGGTCCTGCCTCACAAAAATCAGTTGCTACGACATCAGCAACTACATCGACGACTACTACCACACCGGCACAACCTTCGCCTCCACCCCCTGCTAAGAAAAAAAAGATTGCACTTAACTCTACCGATAAACTATTTGTTCAGTTGAGAGATATGAATTTTGCAGTAGTAGGCGGAGTTCTTAACCGAGTTGCAAGAAGGATCAATGAAGATTATGAAGTATGCTTAATGAGATAATTTGGCCTTTATTCAAATGTTTACACTTTAATAATTTACACATTTACATACAAACGCAAAATAGGGTAGACATCAAGCTAAAACAGTTGCACAGATTCGTGAATTTATAAATAAGCTAGGAGGGCTTCAATCTGAACATCAATCATTAAGGACTCGTATCCTTATTTTATCATCAATCAATTTAGACTTTTAAAATACTGAAAGTAATATATAAATATATGTATTTCTTTAACCAACTTTAATTTTAGATACTGGTATAGCTGAAGAAATTATGGCGTACACCGTTACACCTGAATTTAACAAAGCTCTTGAGGTGCAACAAAGTAATAATTTTTTAATATATGATATTATTTATACAAAGAAATATTCATGATTATGATTCGCAAAAACTTTTCGATTTTTTACAGACTTAGCTGCAGGAATAGATATAAACTTACAAAATGACCATATTGAAGAAATGATCAACCGGCAAGTACCAATCGTGCAAGTGTTAAGATTGTTGTGTCTACTGAGCATTGTAAATGGTGGATTAAAGCAGAAGAGCTTTGAATTTTTTAAAAAAGAAATTTTACAGGTACTTACTTACTATTTTATAATATCATTTGGAAGCTAAAATTAACTAACGAAAATATTCTGTTAAGTCTTATGGGTTTGAACATCTTCAAACACTCTTGAATTTGGAACGCTTAAATATGTTCGTTAAACAAGGGTCCACTAATAATAAGTTTAGTAGCATCAGAAAACAGCTTCAACTAATTGTTGATGAGGTTGATGAACATAACCCACAGGATATATCTTATGTATATTCAGGATATGCTCCGTTGAGCGTACGCTTGATACAATGTGTAACTAAAGGTTGTCCAACATCCATTAATCCCGTGGTTACTGGCGCGGCTAATAATGTTGCTGGGACTGGCGTTTCTACTAGAAGCATCGGATGGAAAGGGTATGAAGATGTTCTGAGAATGTTACCAGGAAAATCATTTGATGAAGTTCAGAGACTTGATGATGGAACTATTCGTTCAAAAAGTAAATATAATTTGTATATTACTAGCTACAGGCAGAATATTGTATAATTGTTGTATTTTTTTTTAGAATTGATCCAGGGACAGCAACCACGCGTTACTCTCATATTTTTCTTAGGAGGTTGTACATACACTGAAATTGCAGCAATAAGATTTATGGCACAGCAAGAAGAAGGTAATAAATTTATTAAATAATCTGATCTGTTGATATATAGTGATTAAAAATATAAATTTTTTTTTTTAAAAAATAAAAGGTCAACGAGAATATATAATTGCTACAACTCAAATTATCAATGGCAATTCATTATTAAATTCAATCATGCAAAAGATAGATCACTTGGGTCATTCTACAAGTGGAAGTTCTTAATGATTCATTGGATCAAAATCTTATTTTGAATTTGTGTAAAATAATACTCCTTTTATTTTAATATTAGAAATGATGGATTTTTTAGATTAATTTATTCCAGAAATTATTGTACTTTATTTGTTTATATTCAAAATAGTGTGGGATATTATTAAAAATTTTATTATTTTCCGAATGGAAATACAAAAATATACAGTATAGCTCTGTTCATTTCTAATTCGTTTCTGTTAGAGCCCCCGGGTTCGTGCAATGCAAAAAATAAAAATTATGCAAAATATGTAAAAATTTTTTTTATATATGATGCTGGAAGTCTATACTAAACAATAAAAATGTAACAATTTTAAAAAAAAAATTTAGGAAAAATAAACCAGTAATTTTATTCTTTTAAGATAAATGCATTTAAAGTTATAAAAGCGAGTGATCATGAGAAATTTATTAGGTTATCACGTGTATGAGAAAATTTTTATTTTGGACACTTTTAAAATGTCACATAAGACAAAAAGACCAGTAAATTAGTAAAATACCAAGAAAAAAAGGACATTACATATCTAAGAATCAATCAGAAACTGAAATGAAGTTATTGAAGATTGGATAAAGAAAGATATTAATGATTGAATAAAAGATTTAAATGAATTTGAAAAAGTAAAAAAGAGACTTATCTCTAAAATTCTTAAGTGATATTAGAGCAGTATATAATAGAACTTCAAGAACTACAATCTGAAGGAATAAAAAAAAGAAGGAAGAATTAGAGCATGATGCAAAGGGAATAAGGTCTTGATACATTATTTTTAAGTGCTAAAGCATCAACTTACATATTTCTATCAGAATTATTGCAATCATTATAATCAAAAATCTCATCTCCATCTTTATCTTTTCAAAATCCTCCTTTAGTTATTGAAAAGATTACAAAAAACCTACAAGTATGCTTAAATGAAATAAATCAGTGATGCTTAATAATAAAATTTGCAAAAATAAACAAAAACATTTATATCTATGACTATTTATGACATCTAAGTATATGTAGATACAAATGGTTATTATTGAATGGTTGAGATAAAATGGATATCAGTAATCAAATTACACAAACTATATGAAATAAAAGTGATTATATTACAAGATAATATACAAAATTATAAAGTTTACTAAGTAATAAAGATTTTAAAGAAAACTATCAAGCATGATTACAACTAAAGTTGCTTGTCTAAACCTTTAGTTTTACTAAATTTTTACTAAGTGTTTAATATAGTTTCATCATTTTATAAGCTTTAATATAGTTTTACCTTTTTTTGAATTTTGCAAATTTTTAATAAGGTTTAATAAGAATAGCAGACATTTGCATGATTGGATATTATACAAAATTGTGTAATATGCCTTTTATACAATTTAAAATAATGTAATCAGTTGCTAAAATCTTGATAATCTTTTTATGTATGATAAAAAAAAAAACTATGATGATATATTCCAAAATGTCTGTTATATTGTTTTAACAAAAATAATCCTGCTAATTACACAGTTTTTAATAGGTATTTTTTTAGCAATTCTGAAGATTATACAATGGTTTTCAAAAAAACGCAAGTGGTATTGCTTGCCTTTAAATCATAGCTCACTGTGCACAAATGCTAGAAACATGATTTTATATTTATTTTGAACCTCAAAACCTAGACAATTTTCAGTAAAAATTTGAAGTGCGATTATTAAAACCAATTTTGTGTAATTTAATGATCTTACTTAATGAAATTTGAGTGTAGAAAAATATTTTCAGTAGGTTGGCTACTCAAAAACCAATGCTGGATTCTGATTCTCCTCAGTGTAGTGATTTTAACAAGCTAAAATTTGTCAAAATCGGATCAGTAGATTAGTAAAAAATTGATAGATAAGATTAGCGCGTATCATATAAAATTATGAATTTAACCAAATTTTTATATGAAAACTCTTTCTCTCTCTCTCCAAAAAAATTTTTGAAACAAAAATTTTTAGAAAATAAAATTGGTTCACCCTATTTTACTTATAATATTTTCAAACTCTGTTAGATAGTTTATTGCTTACATATCAATAACATTTTTATTTTGAAAGAGCTTTTATTAAAAATTTTCAACAAACTCAAAAAATGGTCCCAAAAAAAATTAACAAAAGATGACAAATAACTCAAAAAATAAGTTCCGTTTTAACTATAGAGTGTAATAACCAAAATCTGTTGCCTCTTCTTCAGGTGATGCTTTACATGATAACTCTCTTTCTGATGAAGATATTATCAAAAATACCTTTCAAACCAAGGATATTTCACCACCACCAAATGTTTTGGATACTAACGAATATGTTCCCATTAAAGATAATGAAAATATAGAGTAAGATAACCTTAATTTCACCATCATCCCTCATCCTATTTCTTTTGCTTGCACTACTACTATTAAAAACTGCTTGTGAACTCCTAACTGCAGCTATCATTAAAACTATTAATAGTCTTTTCACTCACGATGACACGTTCAAGGAGGTAAATGTTAGACATATAATTTTATCAGATCATTGATCATCTATTTTGACAATAAGGTTATATTAGAATCAACCATTAGTAAAGATGAGGGATGAAACCCAAAAAAAGCTATTAATAAATAACTGAACTTGTATTAAAACATTTTGAGGGGTACAACAAAATCCTGAAACCTGAAATTAACTGAAACTATATTAAAAATATAATAAGGGGTATGATGAAATTATTTTGAGGGAGTTTTGGCAAGCATCTTTAGCCATTAGTATAAAAATTTCCTGATTTGAGAATTGACCAACTCATTGATTATCACTCATACAAAGAAAATATACACTTTTAGCAACGTATCTTACATATCACAGATATTCACCTAAACATTAAAAAGAACACACTCATTTCTATTTTTACTAAATATGATAATATCATCAATGTCAAATTACAAATTCGTAGATTTTAGTAACACGTATATATCACTTATGACAATCCAAATTCTATCTAACTGTTTTATAACTAATGATCAAGTTACCTGTATAATAACTGCATCAGAGTTTACCTAGCAGATCTTATACTAGAACAAGTAAACAACAGAATAATATTCGTATAAAGTTAACTAATCTTCTGTTTAGAACTTTTGCATATAATTTACAAGATATTATTCTAGCTTCTAAAGCAAAAGCTTATTATATTTCTCATTCTAACAATTACAAACTGCGATCTTTCACTATTCTTTACTTTAAATCAACTGAACTTCTCAATGATGCAATTAAAATTGGATATGCTTTTAGAAACAACAATTTACAATGGTGTCCTGCAGATTTAAAATGTTATCACAAATGTGAATTACTTGATCATATAGTTGTTAAATACTATTAACTCATGCTAGTGAATAAGGATGAACCTAGTGAACCTAAGAGACAATGTTTATAGCTTCTATCAGTTCAGAAATTATATAACAGATTCAAACCCGCTAGCTCTCATTCTCTTATTATCAAATCCAAAAATAATAATAAACATGAAAATTTCTCTTCATGTGACCCAAATGTTAAGTATTCAGAAGTTCTCTTAAAAAATAACAAAAAAAAAGCAAAGATACTGGTCTTAATCTGAATACTGTTGATCACTTTATCCACAATTCTCATTAAAATAATGATACGAATTAAAAATTAGATCAGATTCTAAATATGCTTTCCAGTATGAAAAAAGTGATGTCTGATCTCGCAATTTACATTAACAAATTTGAACGTTCACAATCAATGCCTTCTCTATCTTTTCTCATTCATCTTATTAATCTATTACCTAATATTCCTATTCCTTGTAATATTAACTCTTCTTCTTATGATAGTAAATGTATTAGAATCAGTGATTTCACATCATATGAGAATACCAATTCTAGCCCAAATCCTATTAACTTAAAATTACAAAATACTATCAATGAATAAAACTCAATCATTGCCAAACAATAAGAATAAATGAATATCATGATGATCTAGCTTTAATCTTTCACTGAGAAGCTTGTATAATAATTATTAGGGTTTCTCAATTTGATTTGATATTTGAATATTTGATTTGATTAAATTCAAATCAAAAAATAATTTATTTATCAAATCCAAATTAATATTTGATTCAATTCGATCCAATTCAAATCAAGTATTCAAATATTTAATTTAATTTGAATCAATAGTAAAGTCATCTCCAAAGCTTTAGGAGTGATTCTTACTAAGAAAACCATAGTAAAAGTACCTTCGCATCTTTAGAAATGCTTTTTTTACTAAGAAATCCATAGTAAAAAGCACCTCTACTGCTTCAAAAATACCTTTTTTTACTAAGAAAAACATAGTAAAAAATGCCTTCGTGACTTTAAAGATGTTATTTTACTAAGTAAACATAATAAAAAATGCTTCTACAGCTTCAGAGATATTATTTTACTAAGAAAATATAGTAAAAAATGCTAACGCAGCTTCAGAGACATTATTTTACTAAGAAAACATAGTAAAAAATGCCTTCGCAACTTTGAAGACGTTATTTTACTAAGAAAATATAGTAAAAAATGCTTTCAAAATTTCAGAGACATTTTTTACTAAGAAACCTAGTAAAATACATGTCTACAGCTTCGAAAATATTTTTTTACTAATAAAATTATTATGAAGCCAAGATGGCAGTTATTATTAAGTTTTTTAGTAAAATTGAAACTGCAATGACGGTTATTACTAAATTATCTTAGAAAATCGAAGCTACAATAGTGGTTATTACTAAGTTTTTTTAGTAAAACTGAAGCTATGATAGCAGTTATTACTAAGTTATCTTAGTAAACTGAAACTGCAATGGTGGTTATTACTAAGTTTTCTTAGTAAACTAAAACTGCGATGATGATTATTACTAAGTTTCTTAGTAAAACTGAAACCACAGAGTTATTTTATTAAGTTTAATAGTAAAATTTACCTGTTACTAAACTTATTTTGTAAAAGCTATCTTTGAAATTTTTTAGTACAATTACTAATGCTAATAATTTTCTTAATTA